CCTGGCAAAATGAACAGGAACTGGAGGCGAATGCTAAATTGTCAAAACAACGTATGTCACGAGAATTACAACGATCAGCGACAAACTCGGCAATTGTTTGGGGCAACTAGAAGCTCCCATTTCATTAATATGTATTGAATCAAACGAATTTCATTAATATTTGTCATATGAGCCCTATTTGAAGAATACAACTATTAAAATACTTCAGAAACCGGGACAATAAGAAAACCGGGACACCGGGACAACATAGTCCAAACCGGGACAGTCCCGGGTAAACCGGGACGGTTGGAATGTTTGCTCAGTAGTCTGGGACCAACCAAAATGCCCTTTTCAATGTGCCATTTTGTGGAGACAATTTTTTTACTGAGAAAAGATAGGAGCACGCATTCTATGTCTATTATTTCTATGGTATCAGGTTGTAATGTTGTTACCAAATTATATTTGTTGCATATAAATATTGCAATATAAAATCGCTTTTCACCCTTATAAATATTTCACAGTTGTGCCAACAGCCATGTCAACTAAATGTTTTTGGACTTTATCCTTTAACCCATTGAGTCACATTGCGCCCTTCTTTATTATTTTTACTCTGTTATTTTATAAAACCATATAAGTATGTTTAAATAATAAAGAATTGCGGTTATAGCTTATTCATATCTCATCTCATTCCCACATTATAGCACTTTTTTATATTTCCAGTTATGACATCACTGGTTGTGCTTGAGAAGGAAGCAAATAGGAGAAAGTCTAGTATTTCTGAGGTGCTTTAATTGAGAAATGCCTGGTAACTTGGAAATGATATAAATAAACTTAAAGCCATTCGTCACTATTTTGAACATACTCTGAAGTGATGGAATTTAAAATAGGGACAAAATTTCGTTTCATAAACACTTTCATCATTTACAGGATTTTATTGGACGAAACATTGGTGCAAAAGCTTGCCATTCGATGTTTGCGTAGAGGTATTGGTAGCATGGACTACATTGATATGTTGCTGATTATGGAAGATGATCTGGACAAGAATCAGGAGGATGGTGATCTTCGTGAGTTTGGTGAATCATCAATGACAGGGGATGACAACAATTATCCACCTGAGCAAGACTCATCCAGGGAACCCAAAGGGGATTCCTCAAATAATAGTACTGTTAATACACCAGATTGGTGTGTTTGTGGTAGATGTAGACAATGCCCCAGGAAGTCGAAAACAAGTGCTGCAAATTAAAAAAATGCATAACACTTACTTCGCATTTTACCAAGTTGTGTCTTGATCCTGATGTTCTGGAGTTATGTATCAGAAATAGAGCAGACATAAGAAATGACCACGAGGACAATAGCACGAGGGCTTTCCGAAAAGCTGCCTACAGGCAATTCATTCTAGCACACCATGGTCATCTGGGTAAGGGGAACAGATGAGTCTGCCCTTCATGCGTCGTATTAAAAATAAGGGAACGTTTTCCATCTGTCACTGGAATTTACATGGGATTTAGGGAACACTGATATTTTGTATAATATAACGTCATTTTATAGCATATCTAAATATATTTGTAAGCACAATAACAGTTGATATATGTACAGTGTAAAAAGGGAATGGACAAGTATCTGACTATTCTATTATGAATCTGCTCCTCCTCTCAACAATTTCATTTGTAGGTGGTGGTGGTATGTGGGCAATAGTTGGGGAAATTAGAGCAGGGTCACTTGTATTCAAATCAATGGCTCTTGTTACACCTCCAACATCATCATCATCCACTCTTCTCTTTAAAATTTTGGAAATGAGCACTGGGATGTAGTCGTATCCTTTCTCAACTTTCACCGCCTTGCAATCCCATTGTCGGGTCCTGGGGTTATACTTTCTTGTAACAATATCACCACCAGATTTTGTTTTGGCCTGGGGAAGGTTTATGTGGATGTTCCAATCTATGGCTGTGAGCTGTCTTCTTGCTTTGTATGCACTGTATCTAAATTAAATCCATTTCATTTTTCAGAATGCAGTTAACCTTATATTTAACCCTTTTAAAAGTGGCAATGTGCCCAGATGCACCCTACTTTATTATTTTACTCTGTCTGACGCCATATTATTTTACTCTGTCTAACGCCAGACAATTTTACTTGATAGGGGGAGAGTGCTCCACTCAATGGGTTAAATCGTTTGTGCACAAAAATATCTAATCCCATTATTTGATGAATATGCTGGTCTCTAGTATTTTTGCACACGTGAATATAAGAAATCCAATGTGGATGTGGTATTCCCTTTATTCTGATGCACCCACAGATGAATATAAAAAATAAATTAATTAAAATAAATTCAGTTTAAACAAACACAAAAGGCTTGTGTAAAATACTAAAACAATTATTTGCCTCAGGCTCAGTGATCGTAGGGGGATATTCACCTCCACTTTGTCTCGGTGAATATTCCCTAATAATCACCTCTCATTCGGCAAATATTTATTAAACAGGAGATTGGGGTGCATTGCATACAGTATACTAAATAAAAGCTTACCTGAAAGGTGTCCGTTTTGGGATGTAAACTAAGCCAAGGCTGTTTGCACACTCTATACCACCTGTATGTCTATATAACAAAATGAATTTATTAATCAACTTGTCATAAAAATTGATTGTCAACATTTTTTTCTATACCTGAAATGGGTATAGTACTTGAAACGTGCAAGTAACTCGGGATTCAAGATGATCTTTTGCAATTCTTGATAGTCTTTATCCCAACGATCAAACCATGGTAGCCTTTCGTCATGTTCGTCTTCTTCATGATCACATTGACCTTCCAGCCACTGATGCTCATTACAGATGTGATGCAGTAATCCAATCCATTTGTCCTAAACAAAATCATAATATATACATTAACATTTTACATATACTGTTATAATACAAGAATACCTTCATAACTTTCAGTGCTTCTTCATCGGAGGTTTCATCATCCTGTCTGCATGCACTTGAGCAATGCCAAAAATGCCTGATAATGTGTGCTGCCCAGTCTTTGACTTTGTGCATCGCTTTTGGTTTACCCAACAAATTGATATAAGTCATAAATCAATAATATGTTATGCCAAACTGCACATACATACATACATACATAGGGGCTACTTAGTCATGGGTTTACATTTCTGGGTTTATCACACACACCAAAGGCTTGACTTGTCACATCACAAGGAAACATTATACTCTACAAACCTTAGCCAGACACTTCTTTATGCTTTTTGATTTGTGCTAAACATCCAAGCTATGGATCATGTCTGGGTATTCATTTGCTAAAATAATTAAACAAGAACTTCATGAATGAAATGAATACCATACACCCAATACTCTTTAAACAAAAATGCAGATGCACCAGACTCATTCATGGATGGGTTCGAATGCTTGCATGTAACAGCAAAACTGTAATTTCTCTGTTTTTAAGGGGGCTTTCATTTATTACAGCATAGGGAGGGGGGGGGGTGATATGATTGCAGGGGATTATGAAGTTTTCAAATGTTCCCAAACAGAAGGGTTATATAATACAACAACTGATGTCAGGGGGTTGTCTAAATCAAAGTGAAAAATTAGTTTTGGTTTTCTTATATTTATAACTCGTCCCCAAGCCGACGGCGCAAAGCGCCGTGCGAGCCTACTAATTCCCCCCGGCTATTTACATCCGGGGAAACGAAAGCATTAGCGAAGTCTAAAGTTCATCAAATATCGCGGGCGTGGGTCACCAACCGTGGGTGGTCATCCTCACTGATCTCAAAAATATGGCGGACTGTCATTTAAAGTTTGCATTATAACGACTGCATGATGACAACGAAATAGCAAACATTTCTTTATTTGATGATTGATAAATTTCTTGCAACTATATTTCATTTTTGCTCGCATTTTTGCAAGATTTTGTAAATTTCAAGTAAGAAATGGTGAAAGAATCGGCTAAAAGAAGGGAGCCGACGTTAAAGGTAAGTTTGTTTTAAATATTGATTTTATAATTGCTTTTAATATAACCCGACGGCCTTTGGCCATTTGGCTTTGCGTATATGAAACAACTAAACAAGACAGCATATAATTTCAGTATATAATTTCAAGACAGCATATATTTCAGTATAATTTTAGTATATTAATATTGATTCCCTTTTTTATTATATTGAATTTTTTAAATAAGAAAGAAAGCAAAGTTATTTGCATGCGAGAATTTGAAATCACTTTATTGCAAACTCAAAGTTTATCGATAAAGCCATTTAATTATTAAAGGCATTTTAGTTTTATAGAACACTTTAATTTAAAACATTTTGTGAAGCGTTTGTGGATGAAATTTACCTTAAATTGAAGCTTATATTACGTATAAGAGCATACCTAACATATATATGTTGGGAAATTGATAATTTTGTAATTAAAAGTGATATTTTTAGGCGATTTTTCATTTGTAAGAATATTCTTAAAAAAATTATCGTGTTACCATGACAACAACTTTAGATACTTCATGTTCGGAAAATACAATGGTTTTGTCAGCAAGGCGAGGGTTTCTGCATGCATGTATTTTCTAGTATATATATTTAAGGGGCATGGCAAGGTGAAATGTCTGCATGGCCTTTACACTGTTGATTTTTCTAAATTTTAAAAACGTAAGACAAACTAAAAATTGAAATGGTCGTTTCCGACGATCTAGATGAGAGAGGGTTACTAAAATTTGGCAATGAATGGAGGGGAATTTGAATAAATGAAAGCCCCTAACCAAATGAGGTGAATTTCAAAGAATACTGATTATCTTACCAAGAAATGCTTTTATAGATGTAGATGCATCAGTGACCAACTCGACCACTTTCACATCGTCTTGAAGACGAGCCAGGCTTCGCTTCACTGCTTCTTTCTCCATATTTGTTGAGATGAGGCCAACATGCCTTTTGTCCAAGATTTCAATGTCAAGAATATAACTGGAATTTACCTCTACCATGAAGTAGCATAGATTCTTGGCATTGAAGCCTGGGGAGTCACATTGACCATTACCACCAACAACAACATCCTGGCCTGAAAATTCAATGATTAGTTCTCTCCTCATCCAGCACCACCAGTCATTTATCTCTGGAATCAGATAGAGGCGTTGAAATCGGTAGTAGCTGGACTTGGACAGAAATTCCAGATTTAAAAAATTTGCCAAGTGTTTCATTTTTGCATAGTGGCTTCCAGATAGTATAATTGAAGCAGCAGCCTGGAGATTGTTGACAAAAATGTTATTGACTTCGCCTGAGGAACAAAACTTGTTCTTATGACCGAATGTACATGTAGAGGTCACAAAGAGAGCCATACCAACAAAGTGGTATTTTACAGTTGGTACAGCAGTACACCCAGGTGTCTGACATAGAGTTTTAAATACCTCAAGAAACAAACTAAGTGTGCAGACAAATTTTCTGTCCTGTGCCATTCTGTATTCTTCTTTAATAGCATACATGTCATCTCCTCTACTAAGTTTGCGGTGTGGCCCAAAGGGAATAAGGGAAGTGGGTGTGGCTTGTACCTGCTGCAATGTGGATGAGACATCCACATTATCATCAAAACGGGTCTCGTCATCAGGCATTTCGTACATACCAGCACCTTCATCTGCAGATTCAGTTGAATCGCTATCTATTGTGCTTTCAACATCACTGTATGTGGAACTACAACAAGAAAACCAGATATGACATTTAAAAAAGGTCTTATCTGGATGCACATAACTGAAAGTATATCAGTATATCTTCAACAGAAAATCCCTTAATATTTCCTAAACATACAGTATTTACTCAGGGGCGGATCTAGGGGTCGTCAAACCAGTCACGCGACTAACGTAAAAATTGCAAACTTAACTAAAGTCTTAACCAATAGTCCAGTTATTTTTTATCATGCAGCGACACCTTATAATAGTCCAGTATCTATTATCATCCAGCGCTAGCAATTAACATTCCAATCGAACTGTAGTCCAGTGATCAAATTTCATACAGTGGCTGAGCCGACGAGCTTAGTCAAGTCAATGAGCAGCTGACATACGCAAAGTCGGTCAGTCAAAAAGTCAAAATCCAGTGTTTTGATTGGTCTAGATGCTTATTGCCATGGAAACAAAACATTTTTTTCGATTTTGACTGATCTGTTGGGAGTTCTGACCGATTTACAAAAGTCAGGGGCACCCCGTTAGTCGGAATATCATTAATATTTGACGCGTGCTAAAGTCTTCCCGATCGCGCACTCATTCGAAGTGTCATGTTGGAGCTCTACGGAAAATTCGGAAATGTCTGCTGCTCCAGTCCTTGTAGTATTCGCGAATTGGTTCAATCCGCATTTGCGGTGAATGATTTAGCTGTCTTACAAGACTGTTGCGCTGATCTTGGGAGGAAAATCAACGCTAAATGTCGGAGAGTTCGATTCAGTGAGCAGTTGCTAGGCGCCATGAGTAGCACGAACTACAGTTTGACTGTTTGAGTAGAAGTATTGTCGCCGAGATCTTTATTCTGAAGTGCAATAAGGTAAATTTAATGTGATATGTAAATTTTATTTCGTTTTAGATTTAGACAGCTTAACAATATTTATAAGCGAACAAGATGCGCACCATACATATGTTAAATTGTAACTTGAATACGCGTATCTTGATTTAGATTTAGCTATGAGTTTTGATTTACACAACAAATTTGCATATTTCTAATTCTGCGTTTGAAGGATCGTCAGAACTCAGAAGGCTATTAATATGGAGGATAACCTATATAAATGCATTAATGTAGTATACATAGGATATATAGGGTCAGGTTTTATACATGAATGTCAAGACTTTAATATTGATATATGTTTATTTGAGTAATATGACACTGTAGTGATTACTATAGTCAAGTGATCAATGACTCAACAAGGCAACAAAAATGAGTGTAGTACTATCATGAGATAGTTAAACATAATACTAGCAATCCGTAATTTGATGAAATGAAACATCTTCCACAATTATCACATTTTTGCAAGTACTTCTCCTTCACTTTTCCCTAAGGAGCGAGTTGTGAGAGTCTGTCAGACTGATAGTCGCTATAATTATCTCCCATTTGATGAAGTTAATCTTTTGTTGAAGCTGCATTCAGAGTGATGCAAATTGCATTTCTGAGGTTTAAAAATATAAAATTTCCTGGGGGGACAGACCCCCTTGGTGCCTCGCGCAATCGCCGCTCGCAAAACTACATTGTACATCCGAAAACTTTGACTAACGTACGAAAAATCCTGGATCCGCCCCTGTATTTACTTGTAAACCTCATTCATTTTGACATTCTAAGGCTTATATTTAAGAGGCAGTCTCTGTAAGAACCTCATGACCTCTTTGGATCAAGAAATAGATTTCTCTCAAACTTGGAACTTGAGATTGCCTTTATAAGGGTTGCTTCAAAATGCATCTTGTTTTCAGTCTAACTGCATTTTGGCAAAGTTCCACGGGGGTCAAGTTGAAGGCTAAAATTATGATTTTTGCTGTTTCTCAATAGTGGATTTTTACTGATTTTTAAAGCTCTCTACATCAAACAAAAATAATGATAAAACTAAATCCTTCCACACAATAGTAGCTTTATATGTCTTAAGTAAAAATATATCTACAAATTTTTCAAATATGTTTTCTAAATATAGAAATGACATCATTCATGACAGACTAAAATAGAGATTTCCAAGTTCCTTAAAAATTGTTGAAATAAAACCCCTAAAATTCAAAAGTTAGACTTGCCATGAATGTAATATTATTTGTATGGTGAGATTAAAGGTTGGTCTTACATAATGTAAAATTAAATATTGCGGCCTGTAAATTCTGGGGGTACTACAGGCCAACAAATAATCAACATTTTCGACTCGGGAGTTTAGATCAAATAAGAATGTTCACCGTTTACTATAAACTCTGCTTTCAAAGACCGAGATTTTATTTATTATTTTGACCTAGAACAGTGATAACATTCGTTTGACCTTTGCTGTTGTCTAAAGTCTTTTAGGGAAATGCACTGACACAGGCATTTCCCGTTATGTATGGACCGTATTGTATAAATAATAAAAATTTTCTAGCTGAATATAAACAAAACAAGTTATAAATTTGCAACAGGTAAAGATGTCCGTTAGTCAACAAATTATCGAACATCGATTTACTTTGAAGATTTATTGGAGCGATTATAGAATACCCGTCCACTTTTGAATTTTGATAGTGTTTGGTAACTATTATATTTCAATGATAGGGGGATACAGGGATACGCAGTCATTAAAATGAGGTAATTATTCGAGTAGTTTAAAAGGAGAATTGGTAACTATTATATTTCAATGATACGGGGATACGCAGTCATTAAAATGACGTAATTATTGGAGTAGTTTAAAAGGAGAATTGGTAACTATTATATTTCAATGATACGGGGATACACAGTCATTAAAATGACGTAATTATTCGAGTAGTTTAAAAGGAGAATTTGTAACTCTTATATTTCAATGATACGGAGATACGGGGATACGCAGTCATTAAAATGACGTAATTATTCGAGTAGTCTAAAAGGAGAATTGGTAACTATTATATTTCAATAATACGGGGATACGAGGATACGCAGTCATTAAAATGACGTAATTATTCGAGTAGTTTAAAAGGAGAATTTGTAACTCATATTTCAATGATATGGGGGATACACAGTGAATAAAATGACGTAATTATTCGAGTAGTTTAAGAGGAGAATTGGTAACTATTATATTTCAATGATACGGGGATACGGCAGTGAATAAAACGTCATGAAACGACAATTTATTTGGAAATCAAAATTGAAACAAATAGTTAGTTTTACGAGTATATTTGATGAAAAACGTATATTTATAATACATGGAACATTTATAATGTATTAAAGAACCTTAGAATATGTAATTCTTTATTACTCATTTGGCTGCTCCTCATTTAGCAAAACTTGGCGTATTAAAAGTTGCTTTATGTTCTGGGTTATGGCACTGTGACATTGACGGCTGTACTTTTCTTCGTATTGGTCTTGGGTGATGAATGAGTTTGATGGCCATGCTTCAAAAGTATCGGGTCATTTCTTTACAAATACTGATATTGGTTTAGGCACTCTATACATGCATATTGTATAATAATTAATGTATAATTTGTGTAGGTTTACAAGATATAAAGTTTGAGTGCTAACTGAATGTATGTTTATGCGTTAGATATGAATTAATATATGCATGCATCAGTGGTGCATCGTTTATCTGTGTGCGTATTAAAAAATACAATAACAGGTGCATGATGTTTTTGTATGGTAGTATTTTGATAGTGTTTGGTTTGGGGGGATTTCTGTGCGGGTTTATTGAGAACGAGAAATACAATATACTGATGTCTGATGAGTAATATTTTTTGCGGAGTTTATTGAGAACGAGAAATACAATATATGAGTCAAGTAATACAACAGATATATGAGTAATATTTTATGCCGAGCAGTTTATTGAGAAAGAGAAATACAATATACTGATGAGTAATATTTTGTGCGGGGTTTTATTGAGAACGTGAGAAATACAATATACGAGTAATATTTTGTGCGGGGTTTATTAAGAACGAGAAATACAATATATGAGTAATATTTTGTCCGGTGTTTATTAAGTATTTAAGAATGAGAAATACAATATATTTATAACCCCTTATTATTGAAAATAGAATGTAGATTAATTATTTGATTAACGATTCCCCGTTTATTTAAATACCGAAACACTCGAATAATTACGTAATTTCCTTCACTGCATATCACCGTATCCCCGTATCATTGAAACTTACTATTTATCCAGTCCCTTTATTTAAAAAACCCAAACACTCGAATAATTACATCATTTCATGATTCACTGCGTATCACCGTATCCCCCCAAAATAGACAGTATCAGAAGTGGAGTAGTTTTATATTTTAAAAGTCAAGAGAAAAGTACTCCAATTTTAAATTAACTAATACAAAGATATGCCTCGAACGACAACCTTGTCATTGAATGACCACGATTGTCAGTAGACTTACTATTTGACTTTCGTCGATATCGTAATCATTATTGTAGACACAATGATTACTCCATTTTGTTATTGTTATGGCGGAAGCTGCTGACCAGCCAAATAATTCGGCTGTCAAATGTTGGCTCGTCGCATTATTAATCCGCACCCCCCCCTATTGAGGACATCCATTTTTGGTCCCCCCCCCTCCTCCCCTGGAATTTCCAGATATTTTAAGCGAATTTTTAGCCTCCCCTGTGGAATTTCCGCAGATTTTTATTGAATTTTAGCCACGCATGCCCATGGAATTTCCGCAAATTTTTTATGATCTTTTAATCCATCCCATGGAAATTCCTTGACAGTTTTTGATCTAGCCAATGGAAATTCCGTACTGATTCTTTGATTAGTAGCTATCCCTTGGAAAATTCCTTGCTGATTTTTATCCTATCCTTTGGAATTTCTTTTCCATTCTTGACCTCCCATGGAAATTCCATACGTTTTACTCATTTTTCTTACCTACCCTCTGGAATTTCCGCAGATTTGCTTTAAAATTTGGACCCTCCCATGGAAATTCCTTCATTTTTTGTTCATTTTTGCAGGGGGCCATTGGAAATTCCACATGTCCTCAATACGGGGGGTGGATTAATAATGCGATCAGCCGTTGTAGCCTTGGAAGATTTTGCCTCCATCAAACAAAGATCATGATAAACCTACATCCTTCCGAAAAATAGTAGCTTTATATGCCTTAACTGACAAAGTATCTATAAATTTTTCTGATATATTTTCCAAATATTGAAATGTTTATGTATTTAGAAAAATTATATTTAGTCCGTTTCATTCTTGACGGAGCAAAGCTTAACATTATTTCCGGACATGCAAATATTTTAAATAAACACATTTTAATATTAAAGATATAACAATTGCCCAAGAGCTTTTAGCTCATCAAGGGGCTCTTGTTCTATTTACAGGAATTTGGTTGCAAGTAGGTGGTAAAAATATTATGTCAATTTAAAATATAACCGGACAAATTAGTATAACCAAACATTAGAAATTTTTAGAATTGGGAACAATTTCATAACTTTTACCAAACATTGACAAACTTTTGCCAAGTTTGACCTGCAGTTTCGAAAGCAAACAATTCGCGACATGTTGCACATGTTTTTGACAGCCGAATTATTTGGCTGATCAGCAGCTTCCGCAATATAGCAATAACAAAATTGAGTTATAACAATGGAGGAATGACTAGCATTGCCTGTTGACAAAAGAAGCAAGATTTTATACATATGAGACTGTGTCTAAAATAATCATAAGATGTCGAAAGTGATTAATTTAAAACCCTAAAGAATAATGGCAGCTGACGAATGTCAAATAATATGTCAACTGACAATCGATTCATTGATCGAGGCATATATTATCTTTGTATAAATTATATTGGGGTAGGTTTTCTCTTGACTTTTTAAATAATCTTCAAAGTAAATCGATGTTCAATAATTTGTTGACTAACGGACATCTTTACCTGTTGCAAATTTATAATTTGTCTTTGTTTATATTCAGCTAGAAAATGTTTATTATTTATACAATACAGCCCATACTTAACGGAAATGCCTGTGTCAGTGCATTTCCCTAAAAGACTTTAGACAACAGCAAAGGTCAAACGAATGTTATCACTGTTCTAGGTCAAAATAATAAGTAAAATTTCGGTCTTTGAAAGCAGAGTTTGCAGTAAACGGTGAACGTTCTTATTTGATCTAAACTACCGAAAGTCGAAAATGTTGATTATTTGTTGGCCTGTAGTACCCCCAGAATTTACAGGCCGCAATATTTAATTTTACATTATGTAAGACCAACCTTTAATCTCGCTATACAAATAATATTACATTCATGGTAAGTCTAACTTTTGAATTTTAGGATTTTTATTTCAACAATTTTTAAGCAACTTGGAAATCTCTATTTTAGTCTGTCATGAATGATGTCATTTCTATATTTAGAAAACATCTTTGAAAAATATGTAGATACCTTTTTACTTAAGACATATAAGGCTACTATTGTGTGGAAGGATTTAGTTTTATCATTATTTTTGTTTGATGTTAGAGAGGTTTAAAAATCAGTAAAAATCCACTATTGAGAAACAGCAAAAATCATAATTTTAGCCCTCAACTTGACCCCCCTGGAACTTTGCCAAAATGCAATTAGACTGAAAACAAAATGAAACAAACCTTATAAAGGCAATCTCAAGTACAAAGTTTGAGAGAAATCTATTTCTTGATCCAAAGAGGTCATGAGGTTCTTACAGAGACTGCCTCTTAAATGCTGACCGTATAACAATGATATATCATACTTTGAATTATTGTCCCTTTCCATGTTTTCATCAGCATTCAATTCCTCAATCACTGACTTGGTAAGGTCATGAAAACTGTAAGTAGAATGAAATTATTTAAAAATAAATATAGACACATTTTAGCTGCTGTAAACAAACTGCATATTTTTTAAAAGTAATAAAACCAGATGTCAATTAAAAATACGACTATAAGTAGTACCTGACATCCTGGTCATCATCACTGTCATCAGTGGTTAACTCGTCATCCGTAAACATTGAAGTGTTCAGCATTTTGGATGAGTCTAATGGTTCACTACTCAAACTAGATATTTATAAAAATAAATTTTACCCAACATAAATGACAGTTCATTCAGTTGAATAAATCTTTTATATAATATAATTTATGGTGTAGAACTTGAAACATTACTGCATTGAACTTGTTAGTCTGGTGACTGTGCAAACATTAAAACCCCATAAAAAAGTCAGTGTATATAATTATTACCTTTCATGAAGAGATGTGTCAGCCTCCATACAAATTGACATTGCCATTTGCTGTCCTTCCACAATTGGTGACACATTACAGGATGGCATGATAGTCTCAAGATCTTTCAATGGAGTAGATGCCTCCCAGTCTAAAAGTTATTTGTTTTTCCTTTTTATTTTGCCTTTAAAATATCAAATGTACTGGGCATTCACTTTTAATGTTATTCTTATGAAGAAAAAAACATCACAATTCACAAAGCAACCACACTGTCACTGTACGTACTCAACAATCAACATTCAAAGTGTTTCATCACTTATTTTAGCTGTTTATATATTAGAATGAATTCAGGTTACCCGGAATAATGCCAGAAGTCTGTGGCAAATCATCTACTTCACTGCCAAAAGCATGCAGTTGGTCACGTTTTGGTGCAGCCATTCGCTTTTCTTGTCGGGATTGATTTAGGTCCGCTCTATAAACGACCAGAAATATAGCCAAGCTCTTTATAAATATGATATGTATCCATAAACGAAACAAGTATGAATTACTCTGCTGTATTTTTACCTTCTACGATACTCCAAGGACAACAGATGGGATGCGAAATCGCTGTCGCTACATCTTTGGTACCCAGCTTCGTTTTTGCTTCCCTCCATGCCAGAAATACACTCAACGATAAGTATACTCGTTTATTTTGGCTGCTAAAGTTTTCTGAGCCCGGATACTTTCTTTTTTTGCCGGAATTATCGCGCTTTCCGCCGTGCGTTCCCACACGAGCGGACGCCATCTTGGATTTGTTCAACTTGAAAAAACCGCCTGTTCTTTCAAGTTTTATGTATGCGCAGAAGAGATGCGCACGCGATGACACTGCTCCTTTAAGTACTTAGGTGAATATGATGTTTGTGATGTTACTTTGAGTATGCATCCACACCGGGCAAGCTGAAAAGTTTGCTTGTCCACGGTGGGAATCGAACCCGCGACCTTTGGTTCGATTCATTAAAAGTGTCATTTATTTTTTGCCTTTTTGTAAAAAACCAATGGTTAACATGGCTAACCTGAGGCAAGCAACGCGAGCCTGCGTTCAGTGCAAGAAAAAGGTCTGTTAATTATAATGAAAAGTAATATGATATATACATAGAGCAGGTTAATTGCATCAAAAATTTACAAGTGTACAAAATATATTTTTGTTTTTTTAAGGAATCTTGAAAATGGGCTCTCCTTCAGAAAGCTCGGCATCACGTGCGATTATTGCTTTGATTGGAATTGCAACAATCCTTGGTAATGCACTTGTCCTCTGGGCTTTTTACAGAAGACGAAATAGATTCGTGAGAACTGCATTTGACATATTCATAATCAACTTAGCTGTGTCCGATTTACTCACTGGAATTTTTGTCCTCTTCGGTCGGTTTGTTTTTCAGCCTCAGATCCCGGAAAACTATACAAGTGCAATGACGTACTGTTATCTATTATGGGGAGGTTTTATCTCATTCGGCTGCGGATATGTGTCTATTTACACATGTTTGGTGTTGACAATCGAGCGTTGGCTGGCGATAATGAAACCTCATTTCTACCAAAGAGTAAAAGCGAAACATGCAAAAGTTGCCGTGATTCTTGTCTGGTTCTGGGCTTTCTTTATAAACGCCACCGTTTTCTTTACCATCAAAGCAGACGTTGATAGAAGATCTTGCTTCTGGGTGGAGCCTGAAACAGGAAGAGCCTTTTTCGCTTTTGTTGATATTACAATGACATCTGTTTTACCCTTTTCGGTTATTCTCATTCTCTATGTTCACATTCTCTGCAAAATTCGTAAAAGAAATTGTGTGAATGGAACGAAGGAAAATTTCAAAAGAAGATTAACCATCATTGCTCTCGCAGCATCACTTGCTTTGATCGTCGGATGGTTGCCAACTGATATCAGCTACATGCTGCGATACACAAATGTTTGAGGAAAGCATCTAGGAGGAGTTGCTCATTTATTTTCGTAATGTTGGCATTGAGCAATAGCTTTATCAATCCAATCCTGTATGGAATTTACAGCTGGAAGTTTAGACATGAATACAAAGAAATGCTTTATTTGGTATTCTATTCTCTTTGCAAATTGTTAAGATCTAGTTAGTAATGAGGATCGAGGAGCAAGTTACTTGTGATACTTGGAACAACTGTATACGATTTAAATATTTTCTAAATTTTCGCAATTTACAATCATTTTATAACACTATACACAGAACAGAAATTTGAAGACATGGGATAATATACAGATTTTCAACCAAGTAGAAGAAAATCGGTGAAGGTAGTTATTCGCTGACAAATTAATGAACAACATTTATAAACAGACTATAGTAAACATTCGGTTGATTGTATTGTATATATAGGATTAATTTGGATTGAATTGGATTTTCGTAGCCGTGAATTCCAAATTTGAAAGCAATTTTCGCACACTCAGGTATATTTGCCCCAAAACCCAATGTACACAAAAAACCTCATGCTTAATTTAAATGCGTTTTATACAAGACAACGGTTGTTTCATGTACCAGTGTGAAAAGGCAATTCAATAAATAATTTTTCTTGGATGGAATTACTGGTAATGGGCCGATATCGACAAAATATTCGATATCGTCGATACTCGGCCAGGGTCTGCACGAAAAGAATCGATTGTTTCGATACCGCCTGTGCCTGTGAAGTTTTGATCATTGGTCAGCGGAAACTGGTGATGTTGACAGACGAGCGAAAACAAGTATCGAGTAAAAAAAAACACAAAAAAAACAAACAAGTAAAACAAGTATAAAAACAAGTAAAACAAGTATCGAATTTGGAATCATATATGAGTAGAGTGCTCAATACCGTAGTAGAGCTAATAAGATTAGAAGCCAAACTTGAATTCCTTCATATGAATTTTATTTCACATGGAATTACTTCATATGAACTTTTTTTCAGTGAAATAAAGTTCATATAGTGGTTACTTTCATCCTGCTCATCAGCACTACACTGATGAGGCCCTGTAGTTATATATATATATATATATATATATATATATATATATATATATATATATATATATATATATATATATATATATATATATATATATATAT